GACAGATAATAAAGAACGGAGGGAGTATATAATATTGGTGTGAACACATAGTAGCTTTGTAAAGCAAATGTAGAAAAAGTGTCATTGTAATTAGTAATGCATGCATATGACAAGAAACATAAACTACCTAAAAACATTGCCAAATATATCTAGAACTATTTGTATGACAATAAATGGATTTTTTATTAGAAAGTAGATTTCTAATTTAGGTTATTTACATGACAAGTAAGAATGTGATTGTATGATTGTTATTCCAACTATATGTATGACATATAGAATTACAGAAATATAAACATGTCAGTGTATTCTAAAAAAATGTTTAAAAATAGGAGTATATGAATTCCAACTATATGTGTATGACATATAGATTTACAGAAAATTAGACATGTATTTTGCACTAGAGATAATTAATGAGCATAAAATATAGTAATATTACATGATTATGGTTCCAACAATATGTAAGTGACATATAGCATTACGAAAAAATATAATCACATAATATGTATAAAATAATTTAAAAAAATGCATAATATGATTTTAATTCTAACTGTGTGTATTTAACATATAGCTTTACGGAAAGTATAATCATATAAAATGCATGAAAATAAGATTAATTTGTGTGATATTTGGTTCCAACTATATGTATACGGCATATAGTTTTACGGAAAAGTATGATCACATGGATGTATAAAAAAAGGAAGAAAGATGCATAATGTGATATTGATTCCAACTACATGATTATAACATATAGCATTACGGAATTATAAAAAAAATGCATCTATCTCCAAAAAATGAATGAGGCGTAACATCAAACACTTGGTGTGCAACAAATAGATATAAATAAAATGATAACTTACTCTAAAAAAATCAACGATGTTCAACACAATGGCAAACATAATGCAATAAATCATATACATAAGATTCCGCAAAGATTTTGAGTTAAAAAAACACCTCAAATATTGCTACTGTGTTGCGGCTGGAGAAGGCTGGCGCAGCCTTGATGCGGCGGTGAGTGTTGGCCCAGCCTTGCTGCGGAGAGCTGGAGAAGGGTTGATGCGTAGGGAAAAAAAATAGACCTAGGCTACGTGCTGATAACGTGTTGTGGCGAATGTGTGTTTATTCCAATATGCAAACCCTCTTTAAATAGAGAAGAGTTAGGGTTTTACAAGGACTGGGACTCATGGGCCCATTAGCTCAGTACACATAATATACTAATACATATTCTATCTATAATGACAGCACACTACAATAATTTCCTTTAACATCTTACAATTATTACAGGGCGGATCCAAGAGTTTTACCATGTGTTGGCCAGGCTGGGCCTAATTAAACTCATATAATTAAGTATAATATACAACACTTAATCACGAACAAACAAATTAAAGAAAATTGCCCTAAATAGAAGTAAATTAATTCCAAAATATAAAAATATGACTACAATGTTTACATTCCCAAAGTAGGAAGTAGGAGTTATTTGTACTCTTCTCTTAATCTAATTCTACCATAACTTAATAGGCTAAACATTTTTAATTTATAATAAAAACATAAAAACATTTAAATTTAATATAGAATCGTAAAACAATAAAAAAATGAAATAAAAATGAAATAAAAAACTTTAAAAAATAAAGCACATAAAATATAAAAAACATGGAGGGCTCTCCCACAATCTCTGCCACCTCAGATCGCCATAGAAATGACATCTTGTGTAAAGATGTCTTTTTTTCTCCGAAAATGTAAAAAATGACATCATTACTCTTTAAAACCATAAAGATGACGTTTATGTAGTGCTAAGAACTAACGGTGCCGGTAGGTGGCTAAGGCTGAGGTAGGATCCTGTGTAATTTTCTTTTTGTTTTTCCTTGTTTTTTTAAACTTTTATTTTCTTTTTTTTATTTTATATATTTTTACATTATTATAAATAAAAATATTAACTAGTTTTATGATTTCCCTAAATAGGACTAAATAAATGTAAAATTGCAACAATAGGAGCTTAACGTTTAAATTTCCAAAATAGGACTAACTCTTTCTAGTATACTCTTTCCTTTGTCATTCTTAATAAGATTTTTTAAAGAATACTAATAAGGGTTTGTCTATGGTGCACACCTAAATAATGTGTGTTTCGGTACATTCTTTTTTTTAACCAATCACATTATAGCATTATGCCACATCATATAGACATATAAATTTCTATATTTTCATTGATTTAATCCCTAAAAATGGTAGGAGAAAAACTGATGCAGAAAAAGAAAAGAAAAATAGCAAGAACCCTCTTGCCGCCCGCCTGCCAATTTTACACACCTCCGTCCGTCCTCCGGGCTCTGGTATCCATAGTTTAGAAGTGTAAGAAGTTTTAGGGTTTGGATTTGTAAGATTTAAGAAATTTATTGGATGTGCCTAATCTTGTGTTTATTTGTATCTCATTTTCAAATCGTTTGAGATCTGAGTTCTCTATATCTTTATCACTAGGATCAACGGAGTAGAATATTGTCGAACTCCAGGCGTGAAACTCCAGGCATGTGTGCCTGTGTTCGTTCTCCTCAAATCATTGTATTGATATATCTTTAATAAAAACTGTTTTGTTTGTGTCTTTAATTAAATTCCTAAATTTAGAACTAAAACAAAACGTATGCAACAACATAATACAGATTTCAGTGCCTTGCAAATTCATGTAGGCGTCATAATGTATTTGTTTGGATGAAGACGTGAAGTGGCTTATAATTTCATAGATTGGTGACGTGGCATCATAATGAATTGTGATTGGCTTAAAAAACCTGGGTACCGGTACCTTCCAAATTAACGAAGGCACGGTAAAATTTTCCTAATAATAAATTAATTAATTAAAATACTCCCTTTGTTCTTTAATAATTGTCTCATATTTCATTTTGGGACATTTTTTATTAGTTGTCCTTTCCATATTTGGAATTTTTTTCAATAAATATACATATATACCCCCACTTTTATTGCCTTTATCTTTTTGTACCTTTTACGTACCAGTTCGTATGCCGTGGGATGATCCCACGGTGAGCATCATGCTCCACTCCCAAAATGACATAGCTTTGCACTATTTTTTTTAAATTCGCGTGAACAGTAGACGCGTGAACAGTAGACGCGAGTACAGTAACTTTTTTTCCCTGTTTGTCCCAGTAGCATGAATGATGTAACTCGCGTGTAAAAAAATGTAACTCACGTTGATAACAAATGTAACTACAGACAAGTGGAAATGTAACTTATCTAATAAGTATTACGTAGTATAAGAAATAAAACATTGATTTCAATGAAAACAAGGAGTTTAATTGCTCAATTACTTTACATAAATAGTGAATATGTTTTTTATATTAAGGCCATAAATAATGTTATTTTTCTTAAAATCGTTTTTTGCAAAAAAAACATTTTTTTTTTTGCAAAAAGTGATTTTTTTGTTTCACTAGCAGCGGCTTCCTTAAATAGTGAATGTGTTCTATTCTTAATATTATGGTCATAAAAATGTTTTTTTTAAATCACTTTTTTTCCAAATAAATCATTTCTTTGCCAATTTTTTTTTTTGCAAAAAAAAATTATTCTTTTGTTTCAATAGCATGACTTTATGTTGTGATGTAACTCGTGTTATGCAAAGTGTAATTTGCGTTGATGAAAAATCTAACTGAGATGTATAAAAAATGTAACTCGTTAAAGCAAATCTAAATGTAACTCGCGTTTCTGAAGATATAACCTATGTATAAAAACGATGTAACTCGCGAATCAAAAGATGTAACTTCATATACTATCAAATGTAAACAATGACAAAAAAGAGTCTATTTGCTCAAATTATTTTATGTAAATAGTTAATATGTTTTGTTTTTAGTATTAAGGCCATAAAAATGATGCCAATAAAATCATTTTTTTTTTCAAAAAGTCGTTTAAAAAAAAGAATTTTTGCAAAAAAATTGATTTTTTTTGTTTCAATAGCGGGAATTTATTTTTTGATGTAACTCGTGTTAAGAAAAAATGTAAGTCACATTGATGAAAATCTAACTTAGGTTCATGTAAAATGTAACTTGTTGAGGCAAGTGTAAATGTAACTCACACATAGGAATATGTAACTCATCCACAAGAAGATGTAACTCGCTCATAAGAAGATGTAACTCTATATACTATAAACTGTAATTGCATAAGTTGTCTATAAACGTACATAACTCACACATATGAAAAATATAATGTAATCTCATGTTTTATCAAATTTAAATCAAAATAAACAAATTTAATGTCTTAAAAAACACTAAATACATTTTAAAAGAGATAAGAAATATATTATTATATTTTGCAAAGAGATAAGAAACACATTATAGAAAAAAGTGTATGAATATTAAAAACATTTTACAAAAAAGGTATATAAATGTAAGAATATATTACACAAAATATAAAATCGGTAGTAATTTTTGTTGAAATTAAAAAAGTAAAAGAATATTGTATGATTATTAACGCAATATACTTATTTTATATGGATTGATAATGTTTTGTAATAAATTAGTCAAAAGTAAAGATTAAGTAAAATCACAATTAAACTTTAATTATTTTGATGGAGATGAGAAAAGAATTGAAGAAAATAAAAAAACAAAATAAAAGAAGGAAACCTGGAGGAGTTGAGTAGAAAGGGAGAAAAGATTCGTAGTGCATGCACATTTGAAAAAGAAGGAAACGACATCGTTTTTTGTATCGGTTAACCATGCGCATGGTATCCGTATACCGGTACTACGGTATAATTTGCGTTGACGTACTACTTTCTCTTTCTTACTTTATCATCACTTTATTCTTCTTAATCCTATCTATATTCTCTTTCTTACCTTTTTCATTTATCCTACACCCTCTACATTACCTCTACTATTTTCTCTTAAAACTCGTGCCAAAGCTAAGGAGACAAGTAATCAAGAATGGAGGGAATAAAAAACAAAAAAAAACATAAGAAATAAATAAAAAAATATACATGCTTCAACCACTACCTCAACCACCTTCTTGCCCCGCCACCGCCTTCAGTCGTCGGAAAAGAATGTCAAGTTGAAAAAATGACATCATGACGGAAATTTTGAAAAGAAAGCTGAATATTTTTAAAGATTAAAAATGTTATCTTCATAGCATTTTCGAGAGAAATATGACATTTTTTACACAAGATTTTTCGACTATCGGGTTTGCATATTTTTTAATACAACATATATTTTAGGTATTTTAATTTATTTTATTAGATTTTTTAAATATTTTTATTATTATTATTACTTTATTTTATTTTCTCCGGAATTTATTATTGATTTATACATAGTTTTACGATATTTATGTTTTTATTATATATAAGACTATGTTTTTTTATAAATAAATAAATGAATATATTAGAAATTATAGGAAGAGGTAGAATAGAAAGAAGAGACATATATTACTTATATTTTGGGAGTAAAAAGATAAGTAATTGTCCTATATAGGACTAAAAAAGAAGAGAAATTCTCAAATAAGACCATGTATGTTTTTTCCCCAAATAGGATCGATTTACTCCTATTTTAAAACATCCGCATATTTCATTCCATTATTACCCTCTATCCCTTTACGCACATCTCCCCAACCGCTTCCCCTTCTCTCCTGCGCACATCCCTCTCTCTCTTTCTTGGGTCCTTGCGCATCATCATCGGCTTCATCCAAGCCATCGTCGCCGCCTCCGTCGACTTCGCCCTGTGCACAAGATCGACCGCTTTCCTCTCACGCCATCGATTTAGCCGCTGCCATTAAGGTTCTTCTTCTCCTTCTTCCTCTTCTCCTTCTTCCTCTTCCTCTTCGATTTTCCTCTGTTTTTTTGGATTTTGAATTTTCTTCTTCTTCCTCTTCCTCTTCGATTTTCCTCTGTTGTTTTGGATTTTGAATTGAATTTTCCAATTTTCGGGCTTCTGTTTTGATTTTTTGATATCTAGTTTCTGAGTTTTAAAACAAATTCAGATTTTCAACATTTTGGATGATTGTTTCGGATTTGGCCAAGTTTATGGCAGAAATGTGTCCATTAACATCATATTATGGCAGAAATGCTTTTGTATAAAGTGTTTTTTTTTGTCAATAGCTTCGTTTTTCTAATTTGCTATTGTGCTAAGAAAATTATTCCACTAAAAAATTTAGTTGTTTGAATATTTGGTTATTTATTTCATGTTTTTTCATTTTTTGTCAAATTTATAGCATTTTTGTGTTAATATTTCAACATGAATCTGCCAACTTTTTGGCAGATCTGAAACTCTTGTGTTATGGAAGATGTAGATCTAATCCACAACTCTAAATCTGCCAACATAAAGGCAAATTTATTCCACCTGAGTTGTCGTGTTCAGAGGATGGCGGTGGTGGTGGATGGCGACGCCGATCAATTTAGTTGTTTGAATATTTGGTTATTTATTTCATGTTTTTTCACTTTTTGTCAAATTTATGGCATTTTTGTGTTAATATTTCAACATGAATCTGCCAACTCTTTGACAGATCTGAAACTCTTGTGTTATGCCATGGACGGTGTCGCCAGTGTGGGAAGCGGCGGCGATCAGGGGGCGGCGATGAGTGGAAATGATGGGCCGTCAAGGATGCGACAGCAGGCGGCGAGGGCGGCAACGGGCGGCACATTCACCGACGAGGGCGGCGACGGGCGGCACATTCACCGGCGAGGGCGGCGACAGACGACGTCGTCTCCGATGAGGGCGGAGGCAGGATCCGGCGGCGGGCGGTTTGGCTCTGGCGGTGGCAGTGTCACTGCTAGGGTTTCAATAGTTTTTAATTTTACATTTTTAAAATTTAAAATATTAGAAGAAGGGTATTTTAGTCTACTACTCTGAAAATGGTCCTATGAAACATATGGTTCGTTTATAGTCCTAAATGGGCAATTAACTTTGCTATTAGTCCTATTCGAAGCATTAGATTAGAGTCCTATTGTGGAACACTGGAACTTAAGGCTATTTGTAGTCCGCTTTAGGGCTAATAACCGTTTACTTATTAAAATATGGAAATGATATAATAGGAAGAGTCATTCTTTTTTTTTAATACTTATATTGCTATTTATAGTGCGTTTTTACTTTTCAGGCCATTGATCATAACAACTATGTTTGTCAGTAATTGACAAACATAGTATCGTGCAAATCGATACTGTCATCATTGCTCAATCTGAATTACAAGTTGTAAATGAAGCTTATTACCAAATCGAGGAATAACGCCTTCAAAAGGGGTTACAACTTACAAGTATCGTGCAACTCCTAAGCAACACCCCATTTACAAAAAGTCCATTTAGTAACATCTATTCGACTTATCAATCAACTTTTTTAATAAATACATAATTTTTTACTGCACAATTTTTTACCTCACACACTGAATTGAGTAATAATCAAAATAAATAAAATTAGAGTTTTCTGATTGAAGTAGCTAAAGTTACTGTACATAAAATTTTTAGCCATTTTCATGTATTTTTTCTTAATTTTATTAATAAAATATATTTTAAAAAATGACATAGTTCAGCACATGAGGTCAACTCAACCAGTTCAGTTTGAATTTCATAAATTCAATAGATCCAGCCGATTCAATCAATTTCAGTATTAAAAACAGGCCCTAAAAGTTACTAGTAGAGTTATGCAGGTGACATTTTTTGTAAACAGGCCCCAGTGGCCCGGTCAATCTTCCATCTATAGAATTCATACATGTAGATATCCCTAACAACACAAAAATTGATGCTATGTTCTATCCAACATCAAGAAAGATGGGTTCATAATCCTTTCTGCTGACAAATGTATAAAACTAAAGATACAACTGTGCTAAGCCACCATCAGATGATAAAATGAGCAATGGATTGATTAAACTCTTCCCACCTATGTAGTTGTTATAAAATAAAAAGTTGTGTCTTAAGACTTAACACTACACCACAGACCGAAGTAGCTTCAGCTATGCCACATGTGTCAGAAAAGCTACACAACACATCATCTTCCAAACAACCTTGTCGAAAAGACACGATTTGTGAAGCAGAACTCATAAATAGCAACCAAGAAGTAGACCACCTATTCCTGAAAATTTATAAGTAATAAGAAAACTGGATTTGAAGCAGTCTTAAAAGTTCCGGATACAGCACATGACTTGAGTCAAATTTAGAGTTAATACTCGATTTGGCCTCTTTACCACACACTATCACTCAATTTGCTCATTGGTTTCCTTTTGCACTAAATTTAGTCCTCAGGTGTTGAACATAGACTCAACTTAGTCCTCATGTACATTTGACTCTAATTAATAAGGGTATTTTCAGTACGCTGAGAAGTATATTCCAACCAAATTACATAGTTGATGGCCAATTGAGTCTAGAATCTAGTCCACATCTTGTTAACGGACAAAAGTACACTTTTCATTTACAACCAAATATGTATAAAATTTTATCCAATTTCATATGCCAGTTAATGTCAGCTGACCCCAAACTCATTTGGAACTAAGACTTGGATGTTGTATGTATAAAATTTAAATTGGGTCAACATTTCATATCCCAGGATGAAATTGAGTAAGTGTATAGTCGGGTGGACTACGTTGGGTGTTACCTCTTATATGTACCATTTGTGAAGTGCTAACTCTTAAGCAAGCTAATGCAAAAGAGATTCTCCATATAAAGGAAACAGAACCAAAATAACATGCAATATGCCAACAACCAACTAAATGACTAATACATTACTTATTATTAGGTACCTGCTCCATTTCTGTAGGGTCATCATCTTCTTGTTCAGAGCCACTATCACCTATGCCATCTCCCTGCTCATAGTTAGATCGCTTATCACCATCTGTAACCATTTTGTCTTCTTTAGCCTCATCTTTTTTAGGGCCAATATTATCATCTCCAATGAGTAGATCAGCAGGAATTTGGCCAGACTTTAAAGCCTACACGATTTTAAATGATTATTAGTATATTCTGTGAACTGTATAAAAAAGGATAATATTTAAATACGGGAAAGTAAAAAATGCGTGTAAACCTGTTCAAGCCTTGAAACCTCTTCAAGAGTTTGCGAACTCACAATGGCAGCCTGAAATAAAGTACTTGAATACTTATTGAAGTGGTTGAAATATAAATTCATAGAATATGGACAGGACAGAATGCAAAAAAAATAAGGAAAAAGATATAAAACACATATTGACACTTGTTCGTCCTTTCATTCCTTTTCAGGAAAATGTAAGGCAGTTTTATACTACGTACATGATATGCTGAAACAACCTTAAGAACATACATCCCACACAACCAAGCATAGTAAAGAACAGTAAACATCCATTACTTACAGAATGTTTTGCATGGACTTGCAGTCAAAATCAGAAAACAGGAAGCTGTATAAGTGTTAAGTGTACCTTAATTGCTATAATTTGCTGTGGTGTTGGTGCAGCTGGTTTTGACGCTTGCTGCTCTTTTGGCAAATCAGGAGTGGCGGTAACCTCACCAGGTACAATTGTCTTCACGGACTGCTCCTTGGCTTTTTCTTCATCTTCTGGCAATGCAAATAGATTATTTGCCTCCAACCGCTCCTACATCACCAGTTGACAGGTATCGGATATCCCAAGAAAAAATTGAAATGTATTAAATTAAAAAAACATCTATGTGATTTCATATCAGGGCAAATTGCAAAGGATATAAGCACTGTATCATAAAATTTAAAGCCAAATGAAATAATACACATCACGTAATGGGATAGCGTCATTAGTGGAGTTGTTAAAAAAGTTAAGCTGGCATGGATCCCTGATCATAATAACTGAAAAGAACAACTGAACAGAAGTATCTCACTCATTTGAAGAATCAATATCACAAGAAAAGAAGAAGAAATTGGAGGAACTAACCTGTTGTTTCACTTTCCGAAAATCCAGCAACCTCAAAAACTTTAACTTGTGGATGACATACAAGCGATATTTGGGTTTCTTTGTGATGTTATTATCAAGTAGACTAAGGAATTGCAGCTTTGGGAGAGACGCTAGTGGATCAATTTCAGACAAATTAGTGAGCCTGTTATTAGTAAGAACCAAGGTATGCAGTTTCGGCAAAAACTCTGCAATAAAACCATACCGAGTTATAAAAGCTTTTGATATACAATACCAAATTATGAGCAAAAATAGAAAACCAGCCTCACCTCCAATCTTTGGATTAATACGTGTAATTCTATTGCTGTTCAGCAATAGTGTCCCGAGCCTATTAAGATAGGGGAAATTCTCGAGCTTAACTATTTCATTGTCCGACAAATCAATAGTGTCAAATTGATCCTGCACTCAAACACATGTACGAAAATTGAACTTCAATATGCCGGTATTAGTAAAGAATCGCGAAAATGTCTTCACTTTTTATGCCAAAAGAGTATACCTCAGTAGCACCCAAGTTCTCTATAACCGGAATCTTATTGCCTACACGCGAGAAGAAATTTACACAGAGAAAAGGAAGAATGGAAGGTAAATACAGGTAAAAAACATACATGCATACAGAAAAGAAAAGAACCTGGGAGAATAGGGTTTAAGATAGAGATAGAGATAGGAACCTCGTAGATCTAGCTCGCGCTCGCGAATGGCATTGAAAAAATGAGGGCTTTTCCAGATCAAGTCCGCCGTCAACCTGACCATTTCTTTCTTCTTCTCTGTCTTCTCAATAGAAGAGGCGATTGAACAAACCTGTTACACAGCCTGCCTGATAAGGGTTTTTCAAAGCCCGAGCTCGGAAGACGTATGTTCCGCGAAAAGAAAAATTGAACGACTTTAATCTATAAGTTGAAATTTAACTATTTTTCATATAATTTTTCATTGTTTTATTCATAAAATATATTTCAAATATAATTTTTTCGTAAATAAATAGAATCAGCCAAAATAGTCACTTCAACCATAACTTCATAAATTTCATCAGAATCAGCCAATTTCAATGTTATTAAACAGGCTCACAATGTCCAAATGTATATTTGAAGAATCAGAGTTTGACAATTTTAAATTAAGAAATAATTTCAAATATATAACGAAAGAGTAAAAGTGATGAATAAAAATGTGACTCTAATAATTTAGTAACTTTTTTTACTCCGAAAGTCAGGGAAGGGTGAGGGGGAGCCTGGTAATTGAGTACTTAAATGGATTTAGTACTACTTAAAACATTTTAAATTTTATGATTTAAAAAATTAAAACATTTATGAACACGAGTAATAATTATTTTAACATACATATTTCTCATGTATTAATTAGTATGAGAGGGACTTCATGTGCGGACGGTCGCACCAGACTCGTCGTCTGGCCGACGGCGTTTGGCCGCCTTCCTGGTGGATTTTTTTTATGCAATTTTTATGTCATGTTCTTCATCAAGTCTAGTTTATCCACACACAAAAAATAAGCTAAAAACTCAATCCGGAAGGTCGTCAAATGATTTTTTTGAAGTTCACTGCGTATTTTTTAGCTCAGTGAACTTCAAAAATCATTTGACGACCTTCCGGATTGAGTTTTTAGCTGAATTTTTGTGTGGATAAACTAGACTTCATGAAGAACATTACATAAACATTTAATCAAAAAATACCACCGGGAAGGCGGCCAAACGCCGTCGGACGGACGGCGGGTCTTGTGCGGCCAAACGCCATCGGGCAAATCGCTGGATATGGGCTGGAATCATCTGTGCCCGATCATCAAGAGCAGCATTTTCCAGTTTTGATAGAATATCTTCTTCGGCATTTTCTATCCTGGACATACCTGGTCAAGCACCATCTGTTCGAATGTATTGGTTTGCTCCTCGACCAGCTCTTTATATGCCTTCATCCTTTCCTCCTTGGTTTCAATAGTTCCGTTTACCTGGCCAACTACCAGCTGGCTATCCAAACGAACTTTTAGCCGATCGGCACTCAGAGCCTTGACATACTTTAAACCTGCAATAAGGGCCTCATATTCAACCTCGTTATTAGTTACCTTAAAGTCAAAGTGGATTGAGTGGTATGCCTTGAACCCTTCTGGAGATGTGATGATTGCTCCTCCCCCACAGCCTTTGGCGCTAGATGCTCCATCGACGTACATTTCCCACCAGTTATCCGTGGAGGCCCCATTCGAGCTATCCGACGTTGGTCTAGTAGTGCATTCCGCAATAAAATCTGCCAAGGCCTGGCCTTTAATGGTAGGTCGTGGTCTGAAGTCTACTTCATATTGTCCTATCACGAGTGACCACTTGGTAATGCGTCTGCTGGCCATTGGGTTCCTCAGGATGGTGGCGAGCGGCTGAGTAGTAAAAACCGTTACCGGATGGGCCTGGATGTCACGCCCCGGACCTACCCGGACACGTCAACAACCCGCCGTACAGTACGAATAGTCAACCGCAGTCCAACTCATCCATACTATACAAGGCGTCTTGAATACCATTCACACATAGTACATCCATAAACAAGCATAATGTAAATCATTCATTTAAAACAGCGGAAGCATTTAATAAAGATGTCTTAGCCACACTTTGGCAAACATGGGCATACAAGCCCCCAAATAGTTATTCAAAAATAGTATCCATGAGCATTGTTATAATTGTTTTGAAAACAGGAAGCAGAACAAGCACGAACCACGTCTTCCCCCTTGGAAATCCCTGAAGCAACGGGCGTCGGTAGCAACCTTCAAGTCCTACCTGAAACTGTGAGGTGGTCTCCCCCGTGAAGGGGAGGTCAGTATTTGGAAATATTTGACAAGTACAATAGCAACTATACTAAGTATAATCAACGTTTTAATCTCCAAGACCCCCGTCTTAGGGTACTATTATATTATAGGCCATAACCCTCGGTTACCCCTTTTTACCTTTAACTGTACTTACTTTACATAAAGTCAAGTAGACGGCCCGTAGGCCCATATTCATTTAGAATTCACCGTTCCCATTCCCCCGTGACCGCGAGTCACGATAACCCCGTGGGGTCCCATCGAGCCCCAATTGTATAGCATGGGCTCGGCCCAACTACATCTCTATACAATCCTCTAACTCGATGTATCATATCAACATTTGTATGGCAAGGGCTCGGCCCAACTACGTTTCCATACCAACCATAACTTCGTGGCAAGGGCTCGGCCCAACTACGTTTCCACGGAGGTCACATATACATGGCAAGGGCTCGGCCCAACTACGTTTCCATGCTAATCATATTACATGGCATGGACTCGGCCCAACTACATCTCCATGTCATCCTAGAGTCCAACTCTATTTATTTTCATAATCAAATTCTCAAGCAAGTCCTATGCCTAGAATCAATTTCCGGAGGTGGCCTTTAGGCCTACCCCTAATCACTCCTTAGTGTTCATGTCATTCATCCTTAAGTATCTCTTGAGACTACTTAAGGCATATCTATCCACAATCCTACCTCTTAGGATTTATTTCATCATTTATTTATATTAATTCCCCGACTAGTATTTTGATACTAATAGGATAACCATAGAACATGCCAAGTTCCTATTCCCCATATTGCATTTCATTTCCATTGGTTTCTCAACCCAAGTATAGTTTAATCTCAATATCAAAAATATCACTTTAATCCATTCATGAAGTTCATACATGAAGTAAAGGATATTTTATCACAATGTCATCTTAGTAATTCCATTAACATGCCATTCCATTCATTTCACATAATCATACACAATTATTCTAAATTTGTATGTCATGCTTCACTTACTCATATTCATATTATTTTCATTTAGACATTATTAATCTTTAATAGTCCATGAAAATCCCATCTAATTACTTTAGGCATTCTTATGAAATTAACTCACTAATTATAAGCAATATAGTCAGCCATCCTCACCTCGTGATGTGCTACAATAGTTGCCTTTGTTACGCCCCTCGATCAATCCCCGTTCTAGGCCGATTGAAAGGCAAAACTGGACTGCCTGGGCAAAAGCCGGGCGGCTTTCACGAAAGCCGGGCGGCTTTCACGAAAGCCGGGCGGCTTTCGTGTTCTGCAGAAACGAGCAGCTCCCTTAAAGTGGCGGTTTCCGGCGATTTCGACTCCTATCGATTCACCAACTCTTCTAAGTTAAATATCACCACTTTATATCAATATTCTACACTTTTAAACGTGTAGAACATCATGTTTAATCCATCATATGATTTCTTACAAATCATACACCATAAAACTAGTTAAAAGAGTAGAAATTGTGTTCTTACCTCTTCTTCTAGCTTTTCCTCCTGGATTTCACTTCCTTTTTGCTTCCTCAAAGTTTCCTGTTGGCAGAGCTATCCCAAGACCCTCTCCCTCCCTTCTTGTGCGTATGGTGTAGAGTGAGTGTGAGGATAAGAGATCATCCCTACTCCTCTAAGTCAACCAATAAAACAAGGGGTAGGGTATCATGGTGGGTATGGGTTTTGTCCCTAGGAGCTTCTTCCCAGCTCTTTCCTTGGTAATCAGATCACAAAAACGTGGGATGGCCCCCACTTAGGTGGGAGGTCATCCCGTTGTGTCCCGGTGTGTACAATCGGCCCCGAAAGTTATATTTTTCGGACTACTTTAGTCATAATTTACTTTATCAAGCCAAATAAAATATATCACGCGTTCCCAATACTCATGGGCCTTTAGAATAGATGTGCATTCCCCAACATTAATTTAGTAGCCTCCGAAACTCCTTTCGGGCTGTTATCCGCTAAATTACCAATACAGGAAATTGGGCCCCGTTTGACCAACCGGTCAACTCCATGCCTTTCTTATGGCCCAAATAAAATATCCACCACCATATACATATTATCTAGGCCAAGATGAATATAATATGTGGTTCGGGAATCATCGGGCGGTCCCCGTTCCCGCTGTGGGCCCCACATGCAATTTACTATTCACGTAAAAGAAATAATAAAAATTTACAATTACGCAAATTCATAAATCAACTCTCAAGGTTTATTACATAATTTACTAAAAGTAAATATGCTCGGGGTCGGTGTTACACTGGAAATATGGAGTCAAACGCTTGATAGTGGTTGGGCATCTCTTTGATCATCCCTCTTCCAACTATTTGACCTTTTGTTTTGGTCCTCGAGGGGGCCTACCGCACTCGGGTCTTTGTTTACATACTTACCCAGGTGACCTTGATGGATCAGCTCCTCTATAACAATCTGGAGCGCTCGGCAGGCCCTGGTAGAATGCCCCTTCCTCTTGTGGTATTGACAATATGTGTCATCACGTCCCATATAAGCTTTTGTGTCCGTTGGAGGGGGGATCACATCGTATTCATTCTGAAGGATAGTAGCAACGGACTTGACGAGCGGTGTGAAATGACCTGGTTTTGGAGCATTCATGGTCACTGGGTTAGGACCCAGCCGATCGACCAACTTTATAGATGCCTGTGGTGCTCTACGATCTCTGATCATGATTTCTTCTTCCAGGATAGCATGCCTCCGTGCCCATTCCAGGACCCCCGCATAATTGGTTCCCGGGTTTTTCTTTAAATCCCGGTATAACTCCCCCGTCTGAAGAGCGTCGGTAAATAGCGTGACCGCTGTGCAATCCATTAATTTTTCTACTTTTAACGTCTCATCCCTCCATCTAGTCAAGAACTTGGTGATGGACTCCTTTGGCCCCTGGCGGACACTGGTGAGATAACTGAAGTGCCGCTTTAGGGTAGCACTCGAGGCGAAGTGAGCCAGGAACAGGGTTGATAAGGCGGCAAAGCTTCCGATTGACCCGGGTTGTAATTGGCTGAACCATTCCTGGGCAGGTCCTCCGAGAGTGCTAAAAAATAATCTGTAGATAGCCTCCTCTGAGGCTCCCAAGAGCATGAGCGCTCCCTGGTAGCTAATGA